CCCCACCTCTCCTTTCACTTGTAGATTGGAATGCATTGGATAAATGGCTTCAGAAAGTAGCAGAAAAGCAACCACAATCCAGCAAAGAGGAGCAGCTTTATGATGTAGGGACCAAAAGGTTTGACTGCCAGTCTCTGTCCCACAAGGAGACTGGCATGTCAGGAACAGAAGCCAGTGATATTTTGGTACCTATTAAAAGAGACAGGACTTAATACCTTGGGGACTTGTATAGACCTTTAGAGTTGATTCAAAGTAGTTGTAGGGCCAAATTCAGAGGCGACATAGTGTGAGTCTCATGTCAGAGTAAATCACCATCAGTTGCCATAAATCAGCATAAGTCGATGTGAGGGTGTGTTTAATGCACTCACTGAGGAGTCAGTAGGGGTCATGGTATAGCAAGAAAAGCAGGCAATAGCGGATGTATAACAGCAGTAGCAGTTTTAACTTACTTCATTTTACATACTCCTGTTGACGGCTTCTCCTGCTGCAGATTCACATTTCCACCCCCTCCCTGAGACCATTATAGTGACACACACTCAGCCCATGCTGATTTACTACTCTCTGACTTTCACCATCGCTTAATATCACCTCTTGATTTTAGCCTGGAATAACTATCTCTTGTCATACACTGATTCTTTGCTTCACATTTCTTTTCTTCTCCATGTATATCCATTGAGCTGTACAATTCTAAGGAATTTATTAGAGGAAAGTGTGACCCCCAAAGTAGCATTACCGCCATGGAGAATGGGGAAAAATAATAATAATTAATAAAAAAAAGTTCATAGCTACTATACTAGCTGTTAAATCTTGTCCTGTGCATCTGAAAGGAAAATTGAATATAAAATACTGCATATCTGCCCTACACACACATACTTTAAATGCAGACTTATACAGGCTCCTTTGTCCATTCATTAATGTCCGCCTTGGAAGTTTCATTCACACCATCCTAGAGGCAATCTCATTTGGAGGGCATCGCAGAAACGGAATCAATAACGCTATTGATATCTGTGAAATACTTCTTATTTGTTTCCTTAAAACCAATTGTGTTTTCAGAATCATGTTAAAATATTTACAGCATCTGTCAGAGAAAATAGATGGCTATATCCGTGATTGTCTTCAGGACTACATTAAATCTTATAGCCAGTCTGCAACATGCTTGGCTGTCTAGAAAACAACAGAACTGCAGAAGCCATTCTATTAACATTGGAATGAATAAGTGTGCCTGATTCTGAATTAGTGTAATTCACTTTGGAAATGGATTTGGCTCATTTGGAATAAAGCACTCTTATTCTGGAATGAGAGCATCCACACATGGAATTAATCAAGAACAGTTAATCTACTTTATATTTTCACCCTACTTTAATCTGGATTAATTTTGATGTGTAGACAAGTCCTAGGAATGCCCTTTCTAGTATAGTAAACAAAAAAGGAAAATTATAAACAAACTGTAGCAATGTCTTCCATAACAAGTGATTATATGAGCAACTGGAATAACACAAAGGATGCATTCTCAATCAAGAGCAAGTAAGACTTTTTAAGGTTTCGAGAAATGAGGGAGTAGATGCTGTGTTGATTGGTAATGGACTCAAGACCTTTAATCACTTGATTACTATTTTGAACCTAGCTCAAATCACTAGTGATTGAGAGCTGTTTTCATCTGACAGGTTGGTGGCTTCAATCCAGTTCCTAGTGGATGGGCCTCATAACATTGGACAGTAATAGGCCTGCCTCTTTGTTGGAAGTATTAGAAGAGAGCAAGTGAGAGAGAGAGAGGAGTGGATGGGCATAAAAAAATCAACTACTCTCTCATCTCCCAAAGGAACTCCTTCCAGGGTACAGTTAATACACATTTGCAAAAAGCAGTGCAGGGAATCTTGCATTATCACTGACTCTGCTTGAGCTGTATCCTTTCTGTGGCTAAATGGAAAGGGAAAGTTTAATCAGCACTAGAGGTTTCATCCCAGAATATCCCTGGCAGGCGTTGTCACTCAGAGATGTACTTCTGAGTCATAATTTCCTTCCAAAGGGTAATCATTTACTTCTGGCAAGTTAGTAGGGAGAATAGAGCAAGATTCCACTTATTCCCTGCCACTCCCTTTTCACCTTCTCTGGATAAGGAGTAAAGGGTATGCATCCCTGTTTACTTCTGCACTTCTAGACCCAAAGTCCTGGTAATCCACATTGGTGGCTAACCAGGCTCTTATTACCTGGTGTGGAGTCCAGCTCAGAATCTAGCACCAAATATATACTCCTCTTTAAAAACGAATGTGCCAGAAAGATATATTGGATTAACAGCATGGAAAAAGGATCTAGGTGGGAAGAGTATGGTATATACAAAAAGCCTTTTGTAAAACAAATCTACCCCAGTGTTATTTTGGGGGTGGGGCTTTGAGAGAGGGAATATCTGTTATCTGGTGAAGGTGTAAAAACAAAGATCAAGAACAAAACAATTGAGTCGACTGAAAACATACAGTGGTAGAATATTTGCGTTGGGATGGGATGAATGAAAGCAGCAGTTTATTCTTGTCTTACATACATGGCACAACATACAGAGCTGGCACAAAAAACTTACAAAACCTCATACACCATGCTTCCTCCCAAATAACTTCTATCAAGTTACAACAGCATAAGAAATCAGTTATTTAGTTACAACAGATCTTCAAACATGGAGAACCTCCCATTCAGATTTTTTTCGTAAGCTACTTAGACAAACATTATTTTACATGTTTAATACAGTACAGTATCCTTAACAGAGTTCAAGATATTCACATTGAGTATTGAATACTTTATAAAATGGAAAAATTTCTCATTTCAGGGCAGGACCACTTCTACTCCTGCCATGTCTGGTTTACGAATGGGTCACACGTCATTTTTACTCAACTTTCCAAGCTAATCATTGCTTTAAATTAAAAACAAAAATCCTATTTACAATTTTTCCAGTGTAATAAAAAGTCTTTGCTTCCCACCTCCCTATCTTCCCTCCCCTGCAACAGCTGTCATTTATCTGGTAGAAATATTAACCCGTAGGCTGCTATAGAAACTTTAAAACACCCTCCTGACAACATCACGTTGGATGGAAAAATGAAAGATGGCTACAGCCCATGCCTGATATAAAAAAAAAAAAAAAAATTTTTATTTTATTTTACTGAATGAAAGGCTTTGTATCCACTAGGAACGTATGCTAAATCTCTAATCATTTGATCACATTAACAGAGATGATGCGCTACCTGTGAGCCAGATTGTAATAACTATACCCTTGTTTTAATTGTACCTTATATTACATAACACCCCATTGACTTCAGTGGAATTACTTGTGTAACATTCTTTTTTTGACATTAATAAGGATATTGCAGTCTGGCTCTATAATGCTACTATCTTTGGGCTAGATTCTATCACCCTTAATTATACTGAGTAGTGACTTACTCCATAAACAGTCCCATTGATGGGACTATTCATGATTCAGATACTACTATATGGTCATGATCCAAAGTCAATGGGATCTTTTCTTTTGATTTAATTGGGCCCGGTTTTCATAAGGTTAGCAAACTTTAGCCCTGAAGTAGATAATCAATGTCTAAACAAAAAAAAAAGTTTCTATTCTTTTGTACAAACAATATGCAATTTTTTTACACTAAGTGTTGTCATAAAAAGCATATATAAGTTTGTTTGAAAATGCATTTTTATAGAACTTTATAAACATTGTGATATCAAACACGTTCTCAAAGCTGGATAAAGTACTGACACAAACCCTGAAAGTACCTAAATAGAATTCTTCCAGTAGTATTTCTTTCTTTCTTGCATATTTAACATTCCAGCCTCCTCCACTTGTCATTTTATGGTCAAATTATGGTCCCAGTGAAGCCAGCAACAAAACTCCAATGGGCTTCAAGGATTTGGCCTTCACTGAGTGTCTAATACAATATCAATTGTTAAAATGTTTTCAGCATTGGCCCCATTCTGCCACCCTTCTTCACACTGAGTAATACCTTAATTCACAAGCAGTCTCATTCATCAGTGGGATTACTTGTGAAGGAAGGAGGTACTCAGTCTGAGCAAGGGTATCAGAAACTGACCCTGCATTTTTTAATCCTCCTTATTTCCACCACTAACAATTCTTTAAAAAATATTATTCTTTACAAAGCTTGTCATTCAAAAGGAACATAGGACAAATATTTGCAGACAACACTGTATAAGAAATCAGTGTACCCAGTGTAAACATAAATAAGATTCACAGGGCTCAAATGTTTTATTTATATACTTGTTTACTTTGTGTTACACTTATTTCCCCAATCTGGCATTGTGATCATAGTTTAAATCACTTGATACATACATGTTGCATACTACAGTGAAATCATGTTACTTCCCTCCCCCTCCCCATTTTTTAATACAATCAGCCATGGACACATGAAAATGATTGAAATGAAGTGCTACTTTAAAATTGTTCACCTAATATGATTTAGCATGTGTTATAATGCTAGTTTGGGCCTCAATCCTGAAAATATCTGTTTCATTTTATACACTGTAAGTAGTCTTATTGATTTCAGTGAGACTACGCACAGTGCATAAAGTTAAACACACATGTATGTTTTAATGGGATTGGGGCTTTGATTTCTGCCACATAATACAATTTGTGTTTTATTTTTATTTTTTATTTTTTTTAGTGAAGCAAGTAGAAAAAAAAATGGTAGACAAGTTTATTTTAGATATTTTCAACCTTTTTTAAAATATAACAAGTGAAAGACCATTCATTGTAATATTCTTCACATTTCATTACCTTGGTCAAAATGTTTTACCTTCATTAGAAATGCTCAGTGTGTGACCTGGGTGTGGAGTGTGGGGAGGAAGAATTGCAGGTCATACTTAAAGGATAAATCCTAACCGTATTGTAACATGTGCACTCACCTATATCCGAGCCCTTTTTATAAAACTATTAGTTTTAATTTGTTCGCTACTTTTAAAACATACTTATTTCATCCACTGTCATAATAATAATAATAATTAATAATAATTTTAAAAAAACATAAACGTAAAAGACTATACAATATTTCACACACATAACAACTATTTGCACCTGATGTGATATGCAAAGCAAGTTGTTGAAAATGTCTTGTATTTGGATTGATCAAAGTATAAGTACCCTAAACTTATGAAAATTGGTTGAATTTCCATACTAGAAGGTTTCTGATACAATGGTAAACCAAATAAAATGCTCTTCCTGCCCCTCACACATTCCCAATTTTTAGACTTAAAAAAAAAGTCTGTCCCTAGATCTAGCAATATATATTAATGAGGTTATCATCTTCTGCATGGAGTAGTAATCTACAGTTTCCAGTGATTTATTCATAACAGATAGACTGCTCTTATTGAAGTTTGCACTGCTTCACAAGTCTATTACTATGTAAACTCCAGCAGAATATGAATATCATATGAAATTATGTCAAGTTTCTATGGATTAGAAAGACCTTTGTTTAATGTGAAAATTTAGTTACCTTCTGTTCTGATAGTTCACTCCAGTTTTAACAAAAAGATGTCTTGTTGTTACAAGCCTGTAATTATGCATCATACAGAAAGAAATTTGCTCCTTGCCTATGGAAATATTTGTTAAGTTCCAACCCATTTCTAGGCTGCTAACCATCACACAGCATATGCCACTTGGCAATTTGTCTCCTAGGATATTCACAAATTTCCTTCCAGTGCTCTCCACTTGTTCCTTCTGCTGAAGCTCCCAGGGTTAACCGGCCAATAATCTCATTCCTGGACCCCCTATCTGAATCCAAAACCAAAAATTCAATGCTGATATCTTCAAGGCCCTCACAAGGAATGTCAAAGACAAACAATTCATTGAATACTGCATTGGGGGTGCATTTCTTCACATGGGTTTTCTTTTTAGAGATTCTCTTCTTAGCATGGTAGAGGTTCACTTTGACATAAGGATCTGCAATGACAAGCAAAAAAACCCCACAAGACTATTGACTGTTGTCCAACAGCAATTCATGGATCATATGAATGATAAAATATATTCTACCCACATAATGACAACATGATGAGGGGTTGCCACAAACAAATAGATGTTGAAAAAAGGTCCCAATTGTAAAACTTTATCCTAAGTGACAACAGCAAGCTTTGTTGTCCATTTTTTTAAAATTAAACTATGAATCTTGAACAACTGAAGCACAACCAGGACAGACCAAAGCTTTACAAAGACCACAAACAAAAAAAAAAAAAAAAAAAGACGAGCGGCGGCACTTCAGCGGCAGCTCAATCGCGCCGCGTCTTCAGCGGCAAGTCCTACTTCTGTTCCTCTTTGGCAGCAATTCGGCGGCAGCTCAAAGAGGAAGAGATGGAATGAGGGACCCGCCGCTGAATTCCCGCCGAAGACCCAGACGTGCCGCCCCGATACTGGATGGAGTGCTGCCCCTTTGAATTGGCCGCCCCAAGCACCAGCTTCTTACGCTAGTGCCTGGAGCCGGCCCTGAGCACAACTGATAAATATTAGATCTAGGTCTTTATTACAGCATGAAGGAAAAAAATTCTATTTGCCTATTGGCAGAAATGTAAAACTCTATATTTATGTTTAATATGAATTAGTTATTCATACTTATTTGTATAGGATAAGCCACATCTTAATGAGAATTGTGCAAGCAAATGCATAGGAGAAAAAAAAACAGAAAAAAATCTTCTTTAAGGAATGGCTGAATGGACAACATTTATTCCTAGTGTTACTCCAGTGATTTTAATGGACTTGATTAACTTGGCCCCACAAATTTTAATTTGGTTATTTTGAACCAGCAACTCCAAATGTGGAGCTGCATTTGTTGGTATGCTATATATGCCTAGGCTTAAGTAAGTTGATGACTGCTTTGTATCATTGGGAGGGATAGCTCAGTGGTTTGAGCATTGGCCTGCTAAACCTAGGGTTATGAGTTCAATCCTTGAGGGGGTTACTTAGGGATCTGGGGCAAAATCAGTACTTGGTCCTGCTAGTGAAAGCAGGAGGCTGGACTTGATGACCTTTCAAGGTCTGTTGTAGGAGATAGGATATCTCTATTTATTGGAGCAGCACGAAGTAGCCAATTTAGAAGGTTAAATTTTGTCCTATTTTATTAGTCCTATTAATTGACCCAATGTGGGTTTTTTAAACAGCATTCAAGTTTTGCTTGACTCTTCTTCCATTGAATTCATAGAGAGTTCTACCATTGATCAGAACTAAACACAAATGCCATTTAGAATTGCTGGGCCAAAGACATCAAATTGGAATAGCTGGATGATGACAAGGTTACTCGTCCATTTGGCCTGATAGTATATTTTGCAGAAATACAGAAACAAAGATCATATTGCACATATTCAAGTGCAGTATGACAGTGACAAAGTATGTTGAAATGTATTTCCACTTTCATACTATACTTTCATAGTTAACCAATACTTTAGGAATAAACCTCAAATAATTAAATAATTAACTGGCCTTTTGAAGCACAAACTCCATTCTGTATATCAAAATCAATACCCATCAAAGTTCCGTATAGTGCTCTTGATCTCTGGCCAAATAAACATTGCTAGTTAACATCTCCCAACCATAGATACGTCTAAAGTGTCCAGTTTGCTTCTCCCATATCTATCAGCAGACTTTTATACCACTGACCAGGAGGTTTTGTTGAGTGTTGGGGCATCATATAAGTAGTTTATGGAGTCTCCTGAGTGAATCACTTCCTATCTTGCTGAGAAGGTAAAAGTGAGCAGTAAAAGTGAGAGGGGTGCTCTCGTACAGGGAATCACAGAGGTCTATTTTCTCATGACTGGCATCTGATTACCTTGAGACATCTCCTTTCTCCCTGGCCCATGCTGACACAACCGAGATCAGAAGAGGTGCTAAAGGTAGAGATCCCTTTCTGAAGCATCTTCAGCTTTGTAGGATGTGTCAGCCTACTGAGTACACTGCAAGGCCCATCTCTTCTCTTGGGCATTCAGGATGAGTTGAGGGTTAAAGAGGATTTTATTTTATGCTCAGAAGAACAGCTCCTTGCATTTTATTGTGAAATTAAATTATGTCAGGGTGCCCAGTGTTTGGATATGCCTTTGCTTATGACTCTCTTAAAATAAATTGAATAAATATACCATACTGTCTGTCTGTGTCTGTGTGTATCTACCATTGGTTTCAATGGACGTTCCAGAAAAAGAAACAGTTGCATAATAGAGCCATGAAAATGGATTGCAAAACCTGCTTTTCCTTCGTGCATCCCAAGGACACTGCATTACAATGCACAAATATCATGTTACAAGTGACTTATCTTACTTTGCAAATACCATGTAATGAGCCAGATTGAGGGCTGATGTGACTTCGCTGGAGCTATGTTGAATTACACCAGCTGAAGGTCTGTCTCAGAAATAAACACTTGTAGATTACTTATTTACAATAAAACTATAATTCTGCAGTATTTCCCAACAAAATATCCTGCTGATGTCAGAGAAGTCCGACAGAAGAAAAGGGCAAAATTCAATGACTTCACTGGGAAGAGGATTTCTTCCATATTAACTCCTAGGTCACTTAATGTCTTGGCAAATACTATATAGGAACAAGCTCCTAACATTTGTGACTTGGAATGTAAAATACAACTTGTCTCTGAGAATAAAGCAAGAGTGAATTGCAGATCATACAGCCCATGAATACATGGATGATAGCACAGATCTTTAATCTGTAAACTCCCAGGCTTAGTATGTTTTTTTTACAATTCTGCCTATTCCACAGTCATAAATAAAGACATTACCTGATAATCCTGAAACGTCAGCTTTGGGTAGGTGCCTGGCTTTCAAAACAACCACGGTTAGAGTGTTTGTTGTAGACTGGTAACAGAGAGAGATCAGTAATTCTCCACGTCCAGATGACTTCTGAGGAAATGAAAAGAGAACCTTTATGAACAAATATCTTGGTCAATATCTTGGCTGTGAATTGGAGAGATTAGTACATTTTTTGAAAATGTCATATGATGTTGGAACACATTGGAGTAGCTCTAAAGGACCTATTTATTATTAATTATTATTACTAGGAGTAGAATTATTAGTATTATTTATTATCATAGTTCTATGCTGTTTTATGTTACCAGACTGTACCAAAGTATTCTGGTTACAAAACTTTGTTAATGGCTTGTTAGTAAATGGATTAGAAAAACAAGGTGAAAGCATATATTGTCATGGAAGAGACCTATTAGTTCACTTGGGCTATAGTAAGATAAAGATTTAAATTGATTTTTGAAACACCTACATCATAGGAAATAAATCTCAGTGAAAATAAAAGAGTATAAGCAGAGCTAAAATAGAAAAGGTATATCAAACACATGTAATTCACCAAAATCTGCAGTGAAATCTTTTGACAAATATAGACTCAAAATTTTATGGAAATGTTGTCCCTAATACTCTCTGGAGGACTATCATTTAAATGGAAGGAAGAAGAAATCAGGGTTCTTCTGTATAATTATTTAATTTGAATTTGCAAGAACAATGGCTTCACTTCAAGTAAAGCAAAGAAAAGAAACAGGGACCTAAAAGGTTGAACCTCTCTGGTATGTACAGTATGAATGAGATGATTACAGCGCTGTTGTGCTGAAGCATTAGAACTATAAAACAATGATATTGCTGATAGGAATATTGGCTGGCAGACATTAATTCAATTTGATGTAATGCTTGATCTTTTGAAAGCAATTACATTAACGTCAATACACATGCCAAATCCTCAGGAAGGGCTGGTGGGTACAATTCAGTTGTTATGGTTTTGAAATATCTTTTCATTCTGAACCTGGATAAGAAACACAGGGTGAAATTCTGGCCCCACTGAAGCCAACAGGAGTTCTGACAGATTTCAATGGGGTCAGGATTTTGCCATAGTGACTTCCTTGTATTAGTGGAGCTGCAGCCTGTGTTACAATACTTAAGACACCGGATAATAATACAAAGGTCAAATAATACATTTGAAAGCAAACAATGTAGTCAACAATGCAATTTTGTGAGTGGTGTCAAAAAAAATATTGGATAAATATGTTTGATCTTTAAGGGCTTGATCCATAGCTCACTGCAGTCAACTGAAAGATTCCCATTGACTTCAATGAGCTTTGAGTCAAGTCGTAATTGCCCGTCTTCAATATAGAATGGGGAAAAAAAGCTGTGCATTCTGTTCTTGCCAGCCTGATTAATTTGGGTCAGAGCCTGCTGACCTAACATAAGTGGTCCCATTGAAGTAAATTGGACCAATTGCATAAGAAAATAGGATTTGGTCCATTAGCAATTTCTTATAACAAGCTCACTGCAGTGATCATTGATTGCACTTGTATGCTTGTCTCCCCATAATGTTATCATGTAAAGCTTCTTAATGGTTGTTCTGATGAACTCTTTCCCTACTTTCTAATATACTAGTAAAATAATAACATAATAATAAATAATAAAAGCACAGGACTTTTAAAGATATTTAAAATAGATTACCCTAACATTTCTTTTGATGATCTCCCTGTTCATTAGCATCCTTCCCTCAGACAATTCAATTCCTTCAAGTGGAATGAGGACTTCTCCAATGATGTCATCTCTGGAAAACCTGTCAAAGCTCAAGATCATAAAATGAAGGATTAAATCTTGGACTTGGCTATAGGGGATCCCATAAAATGTAAAGGTTTCATCGAAAGCTGGATCTAAGGTTTTTCTCAGCACTCTGGTTTTCACTTTGTGCTTCTTCTCAGGTAATATTGTCATTTTGATGTAGGGATCAGAAGTCATTGACTGTTCATCCATTGCTGGCAATCCACGTGCTTCTTTGATGTTCACCACAAATGCCTTCTTCTCAAAGTTGTACTCTAAGGAGAAAAAGAGAGTCCCTAGCTTGTCTTGTTTCTCTTCAGAAGACAGTGAAGTGTTGGACTTTAAGCTCTCGGGGGATATTGAATCTTTCTCTCTTTCTACAAAGTGCTTTGGAGTCAAGTTCTCAAGATCTGGAGAGCTCTGGATTTTGGGGGTTGTTTTGGGGAAGTTGCCATTCAAATCTCTCTTTTCCAGGTCGAGGTGGAGAGAATTCTTTGGCATCACTGATTTGCTTTTTGCTTCACTTTTGTCATCTGCTCCAAATTTCTTCTTACTGTTAAGGTTCTCGGGATAAATGTCAACCCCCTTCAGCACATGGACAAATTTGTAGGGAGGGGTCTTGTTGGATTTGGAAGATTTACGCTGGCAGCAGATCCAAGCAAAGAGGGAGACTGTGAAGACAAGGCCAAAAGCACTAAAGATCCCAACCACTGTAGGAATTTCATCTGCAAATCAAATTAATAGTAACAAACATGTAAACAGCAGTGCTTGAGATAATAATGTGATATATTAGAAAATACACTCAAAAGAGATGGCACTAGCAGCAACCTAGGCAGACTGAAATGTTTTTTCATTATACACATTGCAAAGGATCTGTGTATATTTCACGCCATCTGCAGGTATAAATGTGTAGCCACACAGCAAGAGGGACCCCTCATGTAAATACTTTTCCATATACAGTGTAGCCCATTATTTTAATTTATTGTTCATTTCTCGTTAACAACAGAGTGATTGTGAGGAAAACAGTAGGACAAGATAATATCATTAATAATTATTCTGAAATGGCTCCTTTCCATGTGCAGTTTCTAGGTTCACTTAGAACAACTAAATCAGTATGAACCCATGAGGCAAAAGCATTTTCGGCTCACTCCTGCAGCTTCTGCATTGAGTCGCCAGGATTTTGTTGCTTAAACAGAATCTGAAATATGCATTACTTGTATATGCCATCTATGTTTTATATTGCTCCCTGGACTGCTCTGTGTATCGAATGAGGTAAATGTTTTGTCTTCTGATCTCAAAAGGGGTTAGAGGTATCTCATGAAGATGCTGAGTTTAATAGAAGGGGATGGTATTCAACACTTTCTTAGGAGGCACTCACCTTCTTCCAGGAATGAGTCCTTGAAACAATAATTATATCTATAAAGGCTTTTTCTTGCTACCTGGACATTATGCATGCATATTCAACTCTAAAAACAAGAAAACCCACTGTGTTGCTATGCATTAAGTATTGAACCCATCTGACTATTAACCAAAGTCGTGGAGGATTTAAACGCAATAGAAGGAGGGTTCTTGTTTGTTTTACAATATTTCATTAGATCGTATATTGTGACAAAAAAACATTAGAGCTAGATTCCTCTCCCGTGTTCATATGAATCATGCATTTGAAAATTACATTTCAAAGGGGAAAACAGTGCAAGTGCTACAATCTCACTTAGAATGTGGATAAAGTGGTTGCATATAGAGTTATAGTATTTCATAAGTATGCAATGAAGGACCACATGAGCACAACTAACTGGAAATCCAATTTGCCCTATAAGTAACAAATTTTAACATCCCACAATATACCAATCAGAGCTAAATCCACATCACTGTAAGAGTGAGGGGCTAATAAAATATTAATATAATGATGTTTTGTATGAATAAGGGTAATTATGGTCTTTATGTAAGAGTGCTGGTTCTTTAACACATGATTAGCAGACCTTTCTGGTTGAGAAAGAGCACAGGTGTCCTATATGAATGAGTCTGTTATGTATAGTTAAAAGCTAGACACATGGGATTACTTTTCACTTACTGTCATATCTTTATTTTTTTTTTATTGGCGTGACTGAAAAAATAGCACTAGAAAGAGATATTAGGAGATAAACTTCCAGCAGCTAAAGGGTTAGGCCTGGCTCTACATTTCTTCCAACAGTTGAGTCATTTTCCCTTCTACCCTTATTCTGTATCATTCATTGTAATTAAATGTAAGAACTCAATAAAATGACATATATGATGAATAAGTGAATTCATTTTTTTTAAAGTTAAACACGTAGCACTGAGTTTAGACAATTCCTCAGGGTTCAGAAATGGAAAATGTATGAGATGCAATAGCAGAGAACAAGGTCTGATATCATAATTATTAGCACAACTTAAATAGGTTTTAAGTATCAGTTTGCATTTTTGTAGCACTTTTCATTAGATCACATTTAGACAGACTGTTTATAAAAGTGTGAATAATATTACATGTTACATCTGCAGCTTCTGGTAGCATTGATAGGACAAAATTGGTACTTAAAATTAATTATCTTAATTGAATCAGTCATCAGGTGAGCAAGATGTCACAAATGTAGTTAGAAACACCCAGGTGATGGGGGTGGGGCAGGGAGATGAAATGGTAAAGAACACTGCTATACATTTACTTCAATTAGATAACAACCTGTGTTTGTTGCTATTTTCATATGGCAAATCAATTGTCCAGCCATTCAGAAAAGCCAGATTTCTTTGAAATGTTATTTATTAATACTAAAGCAGATTCTGATCTCAGTAACACAGATGTAAATCAGGATTCACTGCATTTAAATCAAGGGAGTGATTTCAGATTTACACTCTTGCTAGAGTAAATATTTTGTAAAGGATAGTTCAGAAACATTTTCTTTTATAAACTCTAAGTAAATATATAGATACACACACCTATTTATGTGAATGTTTCTGAAACTCCCTTTCTGTAATAAAGTTAATCCCATATTCAACAAAAAAATGTTGAACTTAAAACTTTTTATTATTATCATCCTTTTATACTAACATCCACTGCACCAAGATTTATCTTAGGTGTAAGATGTCCATTTAAAATAAGTGGGGATATCACACATTCACTCACCTAGCAACGTCAATTAAAAGAACATATATATCTGTGGATAAGATTTTATATGCCCTCCTCTTTAAGAAGACAGGGGTGAAAGCTATTCCAAGAGCATTTTGAACAAGGATTTGATCTTTGGCGTGGAATATACTTGAACAACTTAACTCTGGGGTATGCTATCTTTCCTCGAGGTAGAGGAGATAATCGAGGCATCAGTAATACACAAAAAAGTCCTAATGCTTGCCAGTACCTGGGCTGCAAAAACAAAAAAGAAAATTACACATCTATGAACTTCAAAGACATAAAAAAAAGATTCAAATGCCCCAAGGATTCCTCTGAAAGAGATATAAGGAAGCTGTGGAGATAGGTTAGACAAGATTTAAAGCATACCCTTAGTTAGCCCTCCCAACGCCATGAAATGGAACGTTCATACAAATGCCCAGCCAGCTCTCAGGCTTAAGGATGGAAATTGCCTGGCATTATAAGTTTGGGATGGAACTTGCTTACCAAATTCTTCTCTGCTCGCTGAAATCGGAGCCATTTTTGCTGCGTGCTCTGTCCAAGGTACTGAAAAGCCCTTCCTCTCCTTAGCCCAGCTCTTAGCTTGCACAAACCCAACGGAGCCCTATTTTTCCAGCGTGATGAAATCACAAACATGAAAGATCGGGAAGGTTTAGGAGGAGGAGGCTGTGAACGGGGAGGGGAGGGAGCTTTTAGACCTTCCCTCTTCACAGTGATTTGCAACCCCCTCCCTGTTTTGGTTCTTCTGAGTAGCTCGGCTCCGAGACTGAAGACGTGGTTGAAACCCAAATTGACGCAATCCTGACGCTACAGGGCTGAAATCAGCACCTTCCTCCCCCTCCCCCCCTCCACCCCTTTCCCCCCTAGGGATTCAGCACACACTCATCAATTATTTTACCTGCTCTGCTGCAGGAGATTAGCTCACATTCTCAGCCTGACACAGACAGATGCTAATTCCTACAGCCAAACATGTCCTTGTATAATCCACAGCCCTGTTATGTTTCATTAAGTATTATTTATTAATTTGCTATCCAGGTTGCAATGATGCAGTAGACGATGCAAAGTCTTAGGGTCAAACGACCCAGCTCCAATTTCAGGGATGTGTTTTCACTATATTTGATACCATACACATAATGGATCGGAATCACTAAATGTCCTGTGTCTACTGCCCCTTCCCCCTTGGAAGTGCAAGAACATAGTGTTCTCTTCTTCCGACCTGCCTTCGGGTCTGGGTAAAAGCTGGATCTGCCTGTCAATTTGGAACCTAAAACTCCCGGATTATACTGTAAAAAAGTCTGATGCTAAAACACCCACAACTCCCCCTGAATCTGCAACAGTGCTGTAAAACCCGGCACTTGAATCCTGCTGGATCCATCCAAGTTTTGGCTCCCATCCCAAATTCTGCTGCATAAATGGAGACCAAGTGAAGGTACTCCTGTTACAACAACAAAATCCAGAGACACGTGGATAGTGCTCCAGATCCCTGGATCTCGATCCCGACATTTTTTTATCCCCTACCCAGCAAATGCTGGTGCTTAACGACAGAATAAATGTAGCTGCTTCTAACTCCAGCAAAATCAATCCATCTGAGAGGCTGCACCGAGTCAGTCTGTGATGCTGATAATCCCAATTCCACTTCCTACACAAAGATCATGTTTAGCTGCTTCTGCTGCGCTTTAGCAATCCTGCCGGGGGTCCCTAGTCCACCTCTCCACACACACTGCAGCTGTTCCACAGAAACTCAAATCCAGGATGGGGACTCCACTGGATCCTACCAAATTTTGGCCACAAACACATAAATGATACTCTATAAATAGAGGATAGTGGTGCTTCAACTATACACCTATAAAAATCTGGACATACACACATGCTGGTATAAGAAGGTGGCAAAAACTACCATTTGACTCCTTTATTTATTTTGACACTACAATTTGGGTGTTCAAAGACAGGCAGGATCTAGGTACATCCAGCTTTTGACTTTCCCTCCCTTCCTTTTGTGAATAGCAACTTTTTTTTATTTTGGCCATCCAAAATTTAGACTTGTTCAAATGTAAGTGCATGGAAATAATTACATTTGATTTTACACTCCAGAGCAGACTGACAGGCTTCCAACCATGATCAAAATATGCTGGATCTTGACACGAATTTAACTGGAGAACATATGGATGCTATCCCTGATCCAGTATCAATAGGGCTTTTCTCCCCCCTGATGAAATCTGGAAGAATCTCTGTTGATATACACAGGGATTACCAAGCACATGGAACTGCCAATTTCTGACTGTCAAAGGTTTCCTTACCTTCTGGTTTCTTAAAAACCATGGAACACAGGGAGGCACCATGTAAAAGGCTGTTACGCCGTTTGCAAGTTTTATAGTGGCTGGGGACCACTTTCTTTCAGCACTGATTCTCTTTCCCAGAATGGAAACTCTGGTAAAATGAGGGTGTGGGGGGGGGAGCAAGTTGGTTTTTTTACGAAGTACAAGATAGTTCAGCCATTTTCCTCCCTGTTCCCCCCCTTTTAAATTAACAAAATTTGTCCTTTTTATGGTTTATCAATATTATTATTTGATATTAATAATCTGGGAATGCCTAGAGACCAATCAGGTTGAGGCCCCATTGTGCTAAACACTATACAACAATATAGTAAACGACAGTCTCTACTGTTACTTTTATCTCAGGTTTGTACATATATGGCTCATTCAAACATTACAGAAGGTGTTTCTTTCACTACCCTGACTCCCATCCTTTAGGAATTGTTAGTTTTCAAGGAGATTATGATAATTAGATAGACAGCTATTTTACATATATAGAGAATCAACTCTTTATTCCCATAGTATACCACTTCTATGACATGGCAAAAAAAGCATCACTTACATCAGTCATGATCCTTCCATAGTTAACTATATGGCTACACTTAGTACAGAATATGTGTCACAGAAAATACCTAAGAAGCAGGTTGAGCATTGGGATGCTGGCAAACCTTGAGACAGATGTGCTGTTTATTCTCTGTGTTGTGCAAGCACCATCTAGTGTACACCTTAGATCCATCAGTGCATGAGGAATAGCACACATATACGCACTTATGCAAACATACATAGAACTACGCAGAGAGATAATCAGCCTGTTATTTCCATGTTGTATATAAGGCAAATGGCAGAAACATGATCACCCCTTCTATTTGTTAACTGGCTATATTTCAGCTGAGCCCCACCCAAGCGATGGGCACTTTTTCTCTCCTTGTGGTTGCAGATTCTTAGGAATGCCTTCCTGTCCTGGGGAAACATACTGAAGGTTTCAGCAGAGATTCACATTCTTAGAACACCCTTTTGTAAAAACTAGAGCAAACGCTCATTGCTCAGTCTACATTCCCCTCCGTTAATTTGATAAGCAAACAGATGATCATGATCTGAGCACATCAACCCCCAGACACATTCAGCACAAAGTAAGGGAGAGCTGTTTGAGACCTTGGCCACCGTACTAAGTTCAAATGAGTTCCCGTGAAAAATGTACAGTCCAGCTGACTGCATCACAATGAGCTTTTCTGTGGGTCTAGAAAACAGATTATCAATACACAGGCATGCGCAGAACACCCTCCAGCTGCTGAGAGAGCAGGGAGTGTGGTTACTAAGCAACAGAGACCATACAGTTCCAAAACCAGATAGGCCTCAAATAAGCATTTGGGGCTGGAAAATAATGGTTTTCCCTCCCCTCCCCACTTATCAACAAACAGTTACTAGGTTTCGGTTTCAAAAGAGCTTGTGTGGAGGAGAAAAAGGCCTGGCTTCCTCCTTTAAAAACCCAAAACAACTATTATTTTAAAATATAAAATAAATCTCCATGCTTTATATGTAGGAGGTAAAAACAGGGAAAAGCCCTTTTCCACCCCAACAAAATCTTATCTCTGGAGCTACATGCTGATGCTATGTCTACACTTGGAGCTTAGGGTGTGATTCCCAGCTTGCATAGGCATACCCATGAGGTCCAGGTGGGTTTGTACTCAGGTTGGTTAGCCTGTGGCACTGCTTGCCACTGACCGTGCTTCCACAGCTACAATATTTTTAGAACACTAGCTCGGTTATGTCTATGCAAGCTGGGAACCACACACCTCAGTTTCAAGTGTAGACATAGCCAGAGGTTCACATGTTCAAATGCAGCCACTAATTGTGTAAGCCTCAATTTTTGGATTCCAGATTTGAGACATTGACTTGATATGGACCTGAAAGTGCTTGTTCAGCACATTTGAAAATCAGGCCAAAAAGCCAAGATTTTTAAAAGTAGGAATCTAAGTTAGACCACATAAATAAGTGACCACATTTTCTAGAATGCTGAGCACCCAGACACCCCCACTGACTTCAAAAGAACCTTCCTAGCACTTTTGAAAATCAGGCCACTAATTTGGAAGTCTAAATATCCTGTGGTTAAATCACTAGACTAGGACTTGGGAGTGCTGATTCCAATTCCCTGCTCTGCCATAGACTTCCTGTGGGACGTTGGATAAACCACATAGTCTATCTGTGCCTTACCTCCCCATCTGTCAAATGGGGGTAATAGCACTTCTCCACCTCACCGGAATATTCTGAAGATAAATACATTAACAAGTGGGAGGTGTTCAGATACTGTGGGGATGGAGGCTACATAAGTACCTAAGATAAATAGAAAGCATGGATTTAGAAGCCTATCACTATGTTTCTGTCTCTGAAAAAATCAGCCTTAATGTAAATTTGAAGCTTTATTTGTGGGAAAATATGGCCCTAGAAAATTTCACAGCATCAAGATTCTGTAGGTACAATGACTTCCTGCCTACCAGCTATTTCAGGAAAAACACACATATATGCACCTTACATGCAAATACCGTATAAGTAACATATAGTATGATATTGACTTTGTCTGAGACATTTTGACTAGAGTAGGTTGGATAATTTTTGTTTTGTTTTTCTGTGGAAAATGTTGTCTTTCTGGAAAAAAATTGAAAAAAAATTCAGACAAATACTGAACATTTTTGACTGAAAAACAAACAAACAAAACCTTATTTTGGAAATGTCACTGCAATGCCTCATGGAAGCTGTAGTTTAGATGCATCATTCTGTTCTTTATGCTGGGCTCCCTGGTTGAACTACCTGCCCCATGAAGCAGCATGGTCTCCTCTCTCACTGAGCCATTTTGGTGTATCATGAGTGACCTTGGCAACAGTACATACTGGGAAATGTAGTCTGGCTGGGGAACCTTTAGAGGAGAATGGGGAAATGAAGCAACCAAGCTACAGCTTCCAGGAGGCATTGTGGAGGCATTTCCAAACTTACATTTTTGGGCTTTTGGACAAATTTTTTCAGTCTTCTGTCAAAAAACAAAAAAAGTTTCAGTTTTAAGGTGTTAGTTTTTCATTGCAAAGTTTAAATTTTACACAGATAGCAGACACATTTTGTGAGAAAAAATCTTCTTAAAAAAAAAACAAAAACACAACAACAACTTTCCACTGATAATTTTGACAGGAATTATTTGACCAGTCCTCATTTTGACCTATATGCAAGTTGCCCTATGCTCCATACACATAAGTAACAATAAAACATATAACATAGTTTTTATGTATATGGGAGACATGCAAATGTGTCATTTTCATATACAATATACTATTTGT